GACCGGAATTTGCAGCTCAAAAAATTATTGATTCCGTGTTAAAAATGAGTGCTTGCCTATCAGTGGTGACTTAGCTTTCATTTCATTTTGAGCTAAGTGCTGCACTTGGCTTTGCCTCACTGAATGACACTCAGTGAATTCCGTTAACGTGGACTTGCCCCAGCTGAAGTCATTGTTCGCTTCCTGGCCTCAAGGATCTTATGGCAAATCTCAGACTGAGTCTATGATAGACTCAAAAAAGACGATTGAAAGCGTGAGCAAGGCAAAAAGCCTACAATCCGTTACTAGACCTCTGACGATGACGCCAATATCAAAGCGTTGGGTCAGTAAAGTTTTCATCGAAATCAGACTGGCATGTAAGAAGCCTTCGCCCAGGTTCAGTAAAGGAGCATTCGACTTCTGAATGGAATCTAATTGTGAATGTAAGATAAAAGACATGTATATAATCTCAATAAATGTTGCAATTTTTGAGGATGTAAAGGATGTTCCAAGAATTTTTGAGCCTGTATTTTTTTTTACCGGAATATTTTGTAGCTTTATATTTTTTTCCTACTGAAAGTGCGCAGCAATACACACGAAAAAAATTTGGTATGCAGCTTATATTAAGTAGCCCCGAAACTTATGTCGATTACAACGACTATAAAACCTGGTAATTACAATAATGAGCCAAATGAGTTACAACATAATGCGATGCAGCTTTTCCTTCTCTTTCTTATGGTTACATTTTCGAAGCCAAATTTTTTGTAAGCTTTTTGATAATTGCCAAAACTGTTCACCTCCATTTCTATATGTTCAAAGTTCGGCTAGTTCTTGAAAATTGTATTCCAAAGTTTTGGGGAGGGTAAATATTTTAGGTTGTCCCGAAAGTTTTGTCCGTTTTTTCAACCTATCATAAAAATACGTGGAACAGAGGTAGGGAAACGCTCTAAGCACTGCCCGACGCATCTTTTCCTCCTCTTTCTAAATATTGAGACCGCATGCCGATTACTCTTTTGCTTACTGAGATAAACGCCGAAATTTCGAACCCATGGTTTTTACTATGTCCAAGTTTGACAAGTTTTCACAATCTTCATTTTCAACTTTTGAAAGACCTTTGATTACCCTCAGATGGACTAACCAAAGGGCAATGCAATGCAATTATTTAGCATATCTAGCTGGCTTTTCAATATTTTTGAAGATGATTTTTTTAAAAGTCTTCAGTCTTCACTTTTGCGAAGTTCTAAAATACAGAAACGCCTCGAATACTAATAAATCATCGGATTTTGAAGCTTTCAAAAACCGATTACGATTATTCACTATTTTTACAAAGCAAATGAGCGTTTACCGCTGCGAAATATAAGACTTTGCATTTTACGCGTACACGCTGGGGTGGGGTCAAATTCAAGAATTACGAAAATTTTATCGCCAAAGACCCCGCAAATTGGAGAGAAAATACACTCACTGGAAAGAGGAGGAAAAGCTGCATCGAATAACACCTTAGCTGTGCGCCGTTTCATGATCTCTGGCTTTTGGCGTCACCAAAAGTGAAATTTGATAGCATCAGAAAAATAATTCTAAAAAATTTTCAAGGCTGGCTATAGATGCCTCAGAATTGCATTATATTGTCCTTTGTTTGCTCTATCTGACTGTTGCCAAAGCTTTTCCGAAAGTCAAAAATAAAGATTGTGAAAAATTGCCAAACTTGGTCATAGTAAAAACCATGGGTTCGAAATTTCGGCGTTTATCTCACAAGGGAACGATTCCAACTTAAGGTGGCGAATTGAAATAAACCGCATGCCATTAGATGCGTCTTGATGAGCTGATTCCAAATCTACCTTTCATATCTGCGACAACGTTATCTGGAAGAAGTTATGAAAGGTTAAAAATGTGAAGTAAAGGAGGTTTCGATGCATAATTTGCTTTAAAATCCAACTTGGAAGTGTACGACTAGCATCATATTGAGTGCACTGATTTCACCGAATGCTCACATTCAAAAGAAACGCAAATAAATGTTTGTGAACAGCTAAAAAGCAACTAAAGTTCTTTGGTAAAAGCTATAAGCAATGAAAAGTCAAAATTTGGCAAATATACAGCGCAATACCTCGAAAATTAGTTGTTCAAAAACACTTATTTGTGTTTTTTAGAGTGTAAGCATTCCTTGAAATCAGTACACTCAATATTATGCTAGTCATACACTCCCAAGCTGGATTTTGAAGCGAATTATGCACTAAGACCCCCGTTACTTCACGTTTTTGACCTTTCATAACTTCTTCCAGATAACGTTGTCGCAAATATGGAAGGTAGATTTGCAATCAGCTCATCAAGACGCATCTGATGATATGCGGTTTAGTTCAATTCGCCACCTTAAGTTGGGATCGTTCCCTTGTCAGTGAAGAAAAGATTAATCGGCATGGAGGCATGACAGTTAGAAAGGGAAGGAAATATGCGTCGGATAGTGCTTAGGGCGTTTTCCTATCTTCGTTCCATGCGTTTTTATGATAGGTTGAAAAAACGGACAAAATTTTCGGGACAACCTAATATAACAAATAGGGCCTTGGACTACATGGTAGTATTTTTGAATTCTCCCGACCTGCTGTGCTTAGCTTTGAATAAGTTATATTTTCGGAGTTCTCAATTTTTGGATAGTTAGGAAACACGCAACTGCAGCAATAGCATGAAATCTTCTAAAGTTCCTGCGAGTTGAAGTCTGATTATTACTAAACACTATTTGTGCAATATCAAGTTTGATTTGCTATGAAGAGACAGCTTTTCGGAATTTTTGTTACCCCTATGAGCTGAAAGTAATCAAAAAGAGGCCACGGTTCTTCCCAGAGAAATAATCGTTACAGACTTGATACGTGATCTTTGTAATCTAAAATATAAATGTAGCCAAAGGTGTACTCTACATAACGGCTACCAACGCTCTTCGAAAATTTTAGAATATTTCTCAAAATTGTGGGAAGATTTGGCGTTAACTTGAGTTGCTTGAAGAGCCATGGTGATAAAATTGCAAAGACAGTATAGATCAAAAAATACAGCTGTAAAAAGAGAACAAAAAGCTGATTCGAACGATGTTTAGATCGTCCATCGACCAGCGTCTGTAAATTTTATGACCGATCAAAAACCCGACAAAACTTCCAGGACAACCTAGTACATGAACTTCAAAAAATCGAAATGGACTCACACTTCGTTGTCCTTCAATGTTCTCTGTATAGCCCGCAAGCAACTAACCACCCGCTTGTAACACTTGATTTGTTGACGTCACAAATTTGAATTATGAAGCACGTGCTTTAGACAGTTCAAATTTTTACGAACACTAAAACAGGTTTCGTCTCAGGGCTGTTCACAAAGAAATATTGAAGGTTTCCAACCGGCGATTGAAAACTGGCCAATTTGTATAACAAATCTCTAAGATTTTGCAAAACTGTCACGACGTAGCAATCAATTTTTTGATGGCATGAACACAGCAATAACGGGCTACTAGCGCATAATTTTCGAACAACACTTCCTTTTAAATTGCATTACTTACAATCAGTGACGCAGATTGACTTGGATTTAGAGTTTTCAGTTTCTGTGCCAAACGGTGGTTCAGACTTTTACAAAAGGATTTATTCGGGAATATAGCAATAATATAACAACAATGACGTCCTTTTTACCCGGACCAGGTGCAAAGTGATGGATGCGAAAGAGACATGCTTATCACTCCCAGCCCCCTGCTTTTATAGCAGGGGAGCTGGGCAAACAGTTCTATCGGGAGCCTGCCGAAGAGGTCGCCATGTCGGCGACACTCCCGGGGGCGGCGAGTCTAGAATATGAGTTCAGTCATGAACAAAAAGGGAGTAAAAATGAGAACAACCATACAGGCATGAAAAAATCATACAATTATGAGATGAAACTTACAAATACGGTATCAATTTTTTTTGTGCGATACAATCATATCGAAAGTTGCAAAAATGAAGTTAAATACACAACATACTATTAGAACTTTCTTCTTTTTTGCGGTAGGTGTTTTGGAGTGTGCCGGAAGCCGCGTATCGGACACAACAAGGTGTTGTGCGGCTTCCGGCAGTGGTTGCAGCTCGTATCGCACGGTTCGTCGTGGCTCTTCCGCAGGCACCGGTCACATAGGCCCAGAAGCGAAGCCTGGACCGCGCGTGACACGGGATCGGGATACTTAGGACAGCGGCCCGACGGATGGCTGCCTTCGCCCTCGGGGCAGAATACGCAGGACGATGTTCGCGGTTGGTTCGCCGCCTCCAAACGATGCTGGCGAGCGTCCAAGGCCGCGAACAGGTTCAGAATAGTATCCAGCTTAGTGTCGATGGCCATTAGGGCCTGGACGATGGGGGATTGGCGTTGTTCGACGTCCATTTCTTCGACGATTTTGGCGAGGACGGGCATACTGATTACCACCGCTATCTGTGTAGGCGTTTTTATACATGTTAGCTTGATATAACCCATTATCTATGTAAGCTTGATATGATACATTATCTGTGTACAATTTGCTCATTTATTCGCATCAAAGATTAGCCGCGTATCCTAGTTTTTATCGGTGATAGGATAGCGAGCAGCAGTTTGAACGTTGAGGTCACTATCGCAGAGGCGATGCCCCAGGCAATTTCAAGCATGGCCCAGGCGACCTTGATTAGCATAATTAGTGCTGCTGGTCCGCACAAATATGTCATTCCTATTGCAAGTGACATTGCTGCTATGACCGCTGCGGCTACCTTCCATTCTTGTTTTCTTGTTTTGAGAAGCGGTTGCATGTCTGGCATATGCACATCGCTGATTACATCTCTCCAGTTTCTACTCTCTGACTGCATTTCGAATAGAGTATTCTGTAAATGCTTAGCATGGTAGTGTAAAGTTCCATCCAGATCGATCTCAATTCTTTTTTGTGCGCAGATTGCATAGCATTTTTGCTCTATAGCTGCTCTATCGAAATGGAGTATTGTTGTCGTTGTTCGATTGGATTCGTCGCAATTGATCGTGAATGAGTGATCGTTACATAGCACTGTTACAGGAGATGGTGTAAACGCCTTGCAGTGGCTGACAACTTCGGCTCCATTTTGGCATTCATAGCATCCCGTTATGGACTCAAATATGATCGAGCAAGGTGAGTCGACTCTATACTGATTGATGTCAAACATTAGCTTGGATTGGATTGTTAGTGTTACCTCACCATCCTGACTTGCTGCGAGGATTTCATGCTCCTTTCTTGCGATTTGTAGGCTTGCTGTATGGATTGGCAATATATTAGCTTCATCCTTCCGCACATCGCCTAGGGATTTTGTTGAGCACTGGCAATTTTTTGGTACTTTGAATGTTGCGCAAGCGCAGATCATGCGGTTTGTGCACTTTTCGAAATTGTCAGTTGCTTGCTGCCGCGTTTCGCATTCCACCGGTAACTCGTAGCCGTTTGGGATACTTAGAGCTTCATGTTCAGCAATTGCGAAACGCTTATCCATTAGCATAGAGTGCGGCTTGCTTAGCGAGATGATATTAAGAGTGATCTGCTCAAGATGCAGCGGTAGATAGGGTTGTAATACCACATCTTTGCTTAATGCTGTGCCCCCAATATTCATGTCTAACTCAAAGCTGATTTCCGGGGTCCATTCCACGCAGCTGATGACATCGTAGATTTTATTATCTTTTGGGATGTGCGCTACGCGAATATAGGAGCATGCCGGTGTGATAAGGAAACACCCGCAAAGCAACCCGCCGCATGTGTGCTCGCAGGCGGAATAGCCTGGAAATTCCGAAGCGAATTCTAATTCTGGGATTGTTTCATTGTGCATGAGGGTGTTGCAGTTATTATTGAAACATGACCCTGCTCCATCACACCTAGTAGTGTAGAATATTCGATGTGTGGTATCTCGCGTATAGAAATGGGACAGCTTGGAACATTTCATAATCATCTCCTTTTTCGTGATTTTGATTGTACCCAAGGTTTGATTTGCGTGCCTTATGCTGATACAAAGACGCTTCTGTAGGCGATTAAAGAGTATTTCCTCATTGTATTCATAGGAACAGTCTTGGTTTTGACAAGTTACTTCGACTGTATGTCGCATGTACCCATGTTGGCATGATGCTGCTGTGCTAATCATAGATGATAGGGCTAACACTATGACTATCGTGTTGGATAGGCCTAATGGGTTGGGGTTGAAGCTATCAAGTACGATGTTTGTCTCGGGATTAGATGCTACGTTTGGCCTTCGTGTGAGCAGCCGTTTCAACACCCATAACACCATCATCAAGATTGTTACTAGGGCGTACATGGATAGTGCAGTAGTTATCACAGCACCTGTTGGCCAACAATGTGGGTTTCCCAGTAAAGATGTTGTCATGATCCTGCTTGAGTGATCGCAGTATGTATGAGATTTACATAACTGAGTGACCGAGAATGTCGGGGTTGTGAGGTTCACATGAAATTGCCCCTTGGTTTTCGCGGGAGGGATGCTTATTGACATGGCTTGAGTGTTATTTTCGAATACTTTGCATGTATTACTCACACATAACCTGAATGGTTCTGCAAGCTCTCTAATGTTAAGTATTCCTTCTGCGCACTCCATAGGTCCCTTCGTCAAAGCTTCCACATTATTACAGCTGTATAGGAGGATGAGGCTAATTATTGTCATGACCCGAGAGATATGAGGGGATGATGTGCTTTGCGAACTTCGTTCAAAGTTTTGAATGACTTCGTAGGCGCGAGTCTTAGATTCTCGAGGCGGATTTCGTCTATTAGACTGCGCTTGCAAGAGATTTTCGCCAGTGTCAGCATGTGTGTCGTGTTGTACGCGTGTTTGCTGAGCTGGATGTTCATCCTGCTGAATATTTTCTGGCAGCGTTGCTGTTTCTTCCATGTTTGCCTCTTCAGTACATCTGATTTCTAGAGGCAACAGCTTATTCAAAGGCCTTTGTAGAATTTTATGATTTGGTGTAAGGATTTTGGCTGACCTTATCAGACCGTCTGCACTTTTGACTAGTTCTGTTATCTTTCCATAGGCCCAGTTACCGCGGGGTATCAATTCTTGTTCAATAAGCACAATTTCGCCCATTCGTGGGTGGTGAGGCGTGTGCCGCGGTTGATTCAAGTGCCTCTTTTGACTTTCGCGTAAAAGTGTCAGATACTCTACATTCCAACGGTCCCAGAATTTAGCTGCAGTAGCTTCTGAGAACTCCATTGCTTCATGCGCTTGTAAGGCGGTCTGAATGAGTTCTGGATCATAATCAGGATCGTTAGCTCGCACGTTAGTGTTTGGGAGTGCATATTTCACGTTGCCCTGTAGGAAGTCTATGGGTCGCAAAGGTATGTCCGTTATATCACTCGAGCTCAACTTTGTGAGCGGGCGAGTGTTTATGATGGCTTCAATTCTTGCCATAACGGTGCTTAACTCAGTGAAGGAAACTTTGCGGCGGCCAACAGCTTTAGTGAAACAGCGCTTGACTGAGCCGACTAGCCTTTCCCAAACACCACCCATCCAGGGTGCACCTGGTGGATTGAATATCCACGTTATACCTTCAGTAGCACTGTAATTCATTACAGAATTCTCGCTTCGGTCGTCTTTTTCAAACAATTTTTCTATGATTTTTTGACCGAGCTTGAAATTAGTGCCACAGTCTGTCCTTACGAGTTGTGGTACCCCACGTCGTGAGACAAACCTTACAAAGCTGTTTAGAAATGCGCCTGTTGATAGGTTCTCCACAGCTTCTAAGTGTATGGCCCTTGTAGTTAAGCATGTGTACAGGCATACATACATCTTCTCGTTGTTTTGCGAGTCGATAGGACTCAAAAAATCGCAACCAATCTTTTGGAATGGCTTGGAAATTCGTACTCTATCTTTGGGTAGCGATGGCATCTCTGGAGCGCCGAATGGCAGCCCATGACATCTTTTGCACGTGCTGCAGCTACTGAGATACTTTTTTATTGCTTTCATGGGTTGAGGTATCCAGTATCGCTGTCGTGCTAGCGCTAAAATGTGGTCATTCCCACAGTGCGCGTTCTTCTGGTGTATGTTTACCAAAATCAATCGAGTCAGTTCGGACGGATTGGGGAGGAATATTGGCGATTTTGTATCGTGAGGAAGCAGTGGTATCAACGCAGAGTACTCGTGGCGTATTATTCCAAATTCATCTCTAACAATTTTCACATTGCGGAAGCGCTTCTGCAGTTCTTCTATAGATATAGAATGATGTACTGAGGTGATTATCAGTTTTTCGCTGAGCATTATATCTTCCGCTGTAATGTGCTGTTCCGTGCTAAAGTTCTTGATAATAGAGAACTTTTCGGAGTTGAAGCTGCACTTCTGTATCCATTTTTTTGAAGTTTTACCGATTATGGCTACTGTTCTCAGTAGCTTGTTGTAGTTTGAAAAACGTTGCAAATCAATAAATGACTGTATTTCCTCGCTACTGGTGGGTCGCGGTACGGTAGGATGCGCTTGAATTTCGTCGTCATCGCTCTGTTCGTATTCGGCATTTGCCTCGGTAATTACGCGTAACGACCACTTTTCAGGGCTTTGCGCTAACCATTGTGGGCCTTTTATCCAGGCATGATTTTTCATCGCTGATGCTGATAATCCGCGGGTTCCAGCGTCTGCTGGATTGTCGTTTGTGGAGACGTGGTAGAACTGTATCTGTTTGTTCTTGCATTCAAAATGATGCTTGAGTCGCAAAATGCGATCTCTTTGACTCGCGACAAACGGCGGCAGTTTTCTCATGCTTGGAATCCAAGCGAGAGCGATTTCGCTGTCGTTGGCTATTTTTATGTCCTCGATAGCGTTACCCATTGTATTTACAATGCTCTTTGCTAGTCTGGTGGCTATGAGTATGCTGAGTAGCTCCAATCGCGGTATAGTTTGCACCATTTTCTTGGGCGTAAGACGAGTTTTGCCGCTTATTAGCTGGGAGACTTTTCTAGTCTCAATGCACTGCAGATAGGCGCATGACGCGATAGCTATTTTGCTTGCGTCCGAAAATATCCAAAGGGTGTATCGGCCTTTATCGGGAGTCGGTAGAGCACGTCGCAGAGTTAAGTCACAATTGTTTATCTGCTGACACTCCTCATTCCATTTCGAAGCGAAATGGCTAGGAATGGTTTCTTTCCAGTCTAATCGTGTGCTATAGATTTCTCGCATTAGAGATTTCAGTTTCACCAGAAGTGGTCCCGCCATGCCAATTGGATCGTACACTGAGTTCATCTGACTGACGATATCGCGTTTTGTGAGCTTTTCTTTGGACGGGATGTCTACTCTCAAAGCGTAAGTGTCCTCCTCAGTGTCGTAGTTTACTCCCAGAAACTTGATAACCTTACCGTGTAAACGGTCTTTTTCAGGGATGGCTTGGTTGACAAGCAGCGAGTTGGAAATGTACTCGCGTAAGTTCATTCCGATTTCAGCAAATAGTGCTTTTGATTCATGGTATTTTGTCAGTGCTTCTTGAACGGAATTAGCTTTTAGGAGGATGTTGTCCACATACAGATGCGATGCAATCTCTCTTGCTAAGGGTGTGTTTTTCCAGTCCAAAAAGGCGAGAATCACCATGTTCAGGATGCTTGGAGAAGCTGTCAGCCCGAATGGGAGCCTCGTAAATCGATATTCGACGATATTGTCTTTTGTTGGCGCTTTTTCAGTGTCTCGCACCCATAAGAATCTGCATAAGTCTTTGTGAGCGCTACTTAGTCGAATTTGCATGAAAGCGGCTTCAATGTCGCAAAGCAGAATGATGTGGTCCGATCGACTCGACGTTAGTACATCATGTATTTTGTTCACGAAGGACTCGCCGGTGTAGACCACGTCGTTTAGCGAAAATTGTGTTTTTCGCTTGGAGGACGCATCAAACACTATACGTAAAGGTACTGCTTTGTTTGGCCGCCAAACGCCTGAGTGTGGCATATAATAGGTGCCGGCTTTATCAGAAATATCATCTTTGGCTACCTCTATTACGTTGTCCTGTATGTATTTGTCAAGAACAGTTTTGTACCAATTTCGTTGGTTTTCGTTGTTTTGCAGAAGCTGCCAAAGTGCTAGTAGCCTTCTGTAAGCCACTGCATAGTTATCGCTTAGATCAACTATGCTGTCTTTGAGTGGTAGCGGAGCGATCACAACACCGTCTTGAAACGAAAGTTTCTTTGAGTAGGTCTGGAAATATGTGAATGTGCTCTCATCTTTTTGCAACTCTTCTGAGGAAATTCCTAGTCCTTCGAGTTCAAACATTTTCTGGAGCATTTCTGACTCTTTGACGTCATTTATGAGAGTTAGCGCGTGGATTGCAGTGTTGGTGATAGTTAGCGATGGTGGAATCGTCCCTTTGCCGTGTATACTCGGCCCAAACACTGTTTTTGTAATGTTCAATCCTGACGGCATTTGTATATTTTCTGCGCTTGGAGGTACCATCGCGAGAAAATAGTCTATACCGATGAGGATCTGCGGGTTTTGAAGTTCACCGCGCACTCGCGGATTGCAGACGACCATTTCTTTTGTTTGCAGGAAATTTTTGTCTTCATCGGACAGCCGAACCGAAGAGAAACCGTTGGTTATGACCGGTTTTGTTTGCCCGGTGAGTATCATCTCTTTGCCATAGGCTGTGCTGACTTTCAGCGTTACGATTCTGCTTTTGAAGTGTTCGGTATGTCCACCAATGCCGGACATCGTGCAGTGTTCCGTGTTCTGGGTTGGTAGACAAAATTCTTCAGCAGTGCTCTCTTTTATGAGTGTTTTTTGAGCTCCTGTGTCGAAGAAAAACAGGACTTTTTCATACTGATTTGTTCTGTGGTTCCACAGATTGCCTTCCGCGGTCATAAGCACAAATTGTTCTTTGTTTCTGACCGCTTGTGCATTGTCGTTTCCTGTATCAACACATGTGCTGTTCACGACTTGTCTTTGGTTTGTCCTATCTTGAAAGTCGCGTCCATGATTATTGCGCCATTGTGGTCTATTTGCTCTTGTATCATGTCTATCAGTGCGATACGCTGACCTTTGATGGTTGTAGTTGCGATTGTTTGTTGCTTGATTCGAATTTCGCTCGTTCATGTTTGGAGTGTTTGAGGATGGGCACAAGGAGACATCATGTAGTCGCCCACATCGAGAACAGTTTGGTTTCATGCAGGCACCAGCACTGTGTTCGTTGGAGAAGCATTTCCAACAAAGATGTTCTTCTTTGACCACGTTTCGTCTTGCGAAAGTGTCGGTTACCGTTCTGCAATTCGATGTCGTATGATTGGACATTTTGCAAAATACGAACGTGTTCGTATTTTTTGGTATAGTACGTTCGTTGTTTGCATAATTACGCTCGCTGTGTGCATAATCTGGGCGTTTTCGTGGTTGTTCTCCTTTCGAGAAATGTTTGAGACGCGAATCCACATATTTTTTTGCTTCAATTTGCTTGTCTAGAGCTTCCATTATGTCGTCCACTGTGATTTCTTGCAGTTCTTGCGTTGACGTGAGCACGTTCTTCACTATGTTGTATGGAAAATTTTCCAGAATTTTCTCTGTCCAGAGAGCATCTTGCATCTTGCGGATGTCTTGCCCGGCAGAGACCAGCTGGTTTATCAACATGCGTATTTTGTCATGTGTATCTGAGCAGCTTTCCGCAGTATTTGTTGCTGGTCGCATATCGACCAATTTTTGCACAACTCTGGCTCTATTTACAGGTCTGTTGCTGTATTTTTTCTTCAGTGTTTCTATCATCCACTGGTAATTTTTTGGTACCATTTCTGTTCCTTTCACGGCAATTTCCGCCCTTCCCTTGAGGCTGTCCTTGAGGAACATCATTTTTTCTGTGGTACTTAGGACTTTGTTTTCGTGTACCAGGGTGCTAAAAATGGCCCAATATTCGGCGAATTCCTCTTCGTCGCCAATAAAACCTCGGTATTTTGAGCTGTTTTGGTTTCAGAGTTCGACACATCATGTCTTCTGACTCTACGACGCTATTTATCAATAGGTCTTCGGATAACCATGCCCCTGCATTGGCGGAGAACTCTCTATCTTCTCCGTTGATTTCACCTTTCATTGCTGCATCGCTAGGTGTCGATACCGTTTCGGTATGTACTGGCATATCCAGCTTCTTTGCAAGTCTCTTCGCTTTCGTGCGAGTTTCGTTCAATCGTGCTTTTAGCACGTACATTGTGTCGTTAGCAGCCGCGATTTTTTCGCTCTATTGCGTGTCTTTGTCGATTTCTTCGATTTCAGCTAACAGTTCTTTACGATTACCTTTTACGTTTAGGTCGTCGAACTGCTTATCCAGCTTGTCTACCAAGATCTGGAGTGCGTCTCTGCTCTCCCTGATGAGCTCAATTCCTCCGCTGATCAGGTCTGCAGCATTGTAAAGCTCATCGAGCTGTTTGGTCTCGTTTCCGCTGGTCGAGACTCCTTCGGAGTAACCTCTGTACTTTTCCACCAAGGTACCCAAGGACTTAGCACTGTATGCTATTGGTTTTTTGTGTAATGTGAATGCCATTATCACTTTTTGCTCTCTTTTTTTTCGGCTTAAGTGCTTTGCTTTCGCTTTAACTTACAGCCTACTTTATTGTAGCGTATGTGTTGCCAGGTATGATAGCCTGGGTTTTTTGTTGCTAGGTATGATGTCCTAGTCTTTATTGCCAGGGAAATGCTGGACTTGTGCTAGGTATGATGGCCTAGACTTTTTCGATTCAATAAATCTCAACCAAAAAAAAAAGATTTTTTTTTTGACCGATGCACCAAAATGTGCCAAACGGTGGTTCAGACTTTTACAAAAGGATTTATTCGGGAATATAGCAATAATATAACAATAATGACGTCCTTTTTACCCGGACCAGGTGCAAATTGATGGATGCGAAAGAGACATGCTTATCACTCCCAGCCCCCTGTTTTTATAGCAGGGGAGCTGGGCAAACAGTTCTATCGGGAGCCTGCCGAAGAGGTCGCCATGTCGGCGACAGTTTCTTTGGGTTTTCATTTTTAGAAAATTTTCTTTTTTTATTCAAGAATTTGTACCCTAATCACGGAAGGTACTGGAAATACAGGATGAAGCTAGCTTCAAAGCTCGTGATTTGAAAATTCGCGAAAGCTCTATGGCAAAAGATCCCCCTCTAACAAGGGAAGGATACATGGTCGAAGTGGCATTTCATTATGAAATGTATACCATCTTATAGAGCTTAGGACGCTGATTCCGAATCTGCTTTCCATATCTGCAAAGCTCTTCTGGGAGGGAAGTTAGGGGAATTTCTTGAAGCAAAAATCCGAACGCGCGGCTACCATAAAATCATTCAAAGTACCGTCTATGAGCTCGAATGGAGCTACGATCACTACCAGAGCGTTCTACGCAATACTACCTTCAATCTGACAAGCTCTTGTCAGTGATTACTCCTTTCAAGCACCGGAAAGGTCTTAACACCTGTTTTTACCTTAGCCAAACCGTTGAATTTTTACCAATAAAAATTCCCAGAACTCCTTCAAAAACGCTTTGCAGATAAGGAAAGCAGACCTGGAATCAGCGTTCCACGCTCTATAAGATGGTATATATTTTATATGGAAACCCCACTTCGACCAAGTATCCTTCCCTTGTAAGTTAAAACAGTGGGTGCAGTTCAATTGGTTCGATCTTAAAATTGTAGCCTTGCTTGCTTTGAGAAGTACTACCTACCAAAAACAGTGAACGTTTTGGGAAATCATGGGCAGCTGAGGAACGAACTCATGCAGAATTTGACTCGAAATCGAGAAACTCTAATAAACTTTTTACGCAGTATAAGAAGGCTCAAAGACTTCTAAATTGCCGCATATATTGGCAAGCGATTTGAAATGACTGTTGATATACTGAGACGAGACCAATCAGAGTAATGAATTACATGATATCACCAATGGAAGCCTCAGCCATTATAGCACCCAACTGCTCTGTTTACTTTCACTCGTCTGCGTTTGCTTCAATTTGGCAGTCATGCTGTATGAGAACATTAGCCATTGAATAGAGAGTCGTGGAACACCACTCAGTTCAAAGGGGAAACAATTTTTTGAGTTTCCAGCATGCGACCTCTTGCCGGAATCTAAGCTCAAATTTTTTAAGGAATGACTCTGAATTTTAGGCACACCTATATGATCAAGAGCTTTTTTTGGTTCTGCTAATATCATTATGAATAAATTTCTCCAGGTTATGGCCATACTATCTACAAAACACTTTGGACATGCTTTATAAAATGTCATGTTAATTTTTATACAGAAATTTGCACTGGATTATGATCGATGTCGTCGTCGCTTCTCAGCAATCATCAGAGCACTACACCACGGCCTGCACTTTTTTATAATGTCGATGACTTTGTCTAGCCCATCTCCTCTTGAATCATCGTACACCAAACACCACTTCGGCAGAGTTGTAATGCACTGCAAGACAAATTCAATAATTAATTGCTTTAGCCCATCAATATTGAAAGTTTATATGTTAGTGCTATATGTGGAGTTTATAAAGACATACCCGTTGGAGTGATTCGCTCAGACTACTGGCAATGACAAACAGACAACCCATGACCAAAGCAAAGCGTAATTTCAAAACAAGCATTTAGTTTCTGAAAAATGTTCGGAATGAATAGTAATGACCATGAAAGCAGCGACGAAGTATCCCAGAGTGACTAGATTTTTGGTTTTGTACGCAACTTTCAAACTCGTACTGTTTGAGAAAAGGTATAAGCAGTGATTCTTACACATTGGTTTTATGTAAGGTTAAAGTGAAAGTTCTGTCGCTTCAAACTCAAAAAGTTCTTGAATGCTCACAATGTGGACGCATTTTATTTGACGACTAGTTGGCAAACCCGGCTCCGCCCGGGCCTGTCAATAATATATTTGTAATCAGCGTGCTCGATTACCCCCTGTGCCAACTCCCAGCCCTGTAGCTCAAATTTTGCAAAAAATCGATAAAATCGATATCGATCGATAACGAAAAGTAGCCTATGACACGCTCCCTGCCCCGAAGTATATGTGTGCCAAGTTTGGTCCAAATCGGTTCAGAAATAAAAATTTCTATTCCGCACATACGTACATACATACAGACAGGCAGACACACATTCAGCTTTATATATAAGATAAAGACTCGAGAGATAAAAATTCGATTGGAAGAACCGTTCTAGCTTTCAAAACCCTAAAAAGGATCGCCAAAATTCTGAAACGCTGCGAATCTGAACATGTTGCTTACATTTACATAGCTGCTCTATCCAAGAATGCAAAGTTTGTGCTGATCAAGCCTGATCAAGCTTCCCCTTGCAAGGTTATAAATTTCGAAGAAAATGCAAGAAATAAGAAAATAATTCTTTTGCAATTTTCTGCACTCTTCTTGAAAATCATTGCTTTCCATACAAAAGCTCGGCACAAACGCAGTCATAGAAAGAGCAGCTTACGTAGACGTAAGAAACATGTTTTTGAACTTTTTTTGCCCTTCAAAGCTTTTCAAATTTCCTACAAATTATTATAGATCGAGAGCTAGGTTTTTCCTAGTCGGATATTTATATCTGGACTTTTTTGTCAGATCTGCGAAACCCATCGAAATGGCCTTTTTAGATGAGATGTATACCTAATGTAAGGCATAAAACGTTGATTCCAAATCTGCATTCCTTATCTGCAGAACGTTTACGGATAAGTACAATACCGCTCACATTTTTTGAAAAATAGACGCGAATGTATGACATGTATGGACATGTACGGACATGTCCATACATGTACGGACATGTCCATACATGTATGGACATGTCCGTACATCAGCGTCGCGTGGCCATATCTCGCTTCTGAGTGGACGAATTCTAAATCTAAAGCCACCATTCGATTCAGCTCGGCGCGGAGAATCCTCTGATATATTGGAAGTGGGGGTACGATGTCTTCGATATTCCGTTTCCAGTTTTTCCAATTTGTTCTGCGGAGGTCCTTTCGCGAATATGTGAAGCAACGCCTACCCAACATAGAAGACTTTACTGAGTACTATTCGATAATACTGTTATTGTAGATTATTGTGCGCTGAAAAATAAGCTCAGACTTCTTTCCAAAGGAGATAGAAGCGTTGGTGAATTCTGGAAAAATCATGCGTTTTTAAATTCTACTCGCCATAACTTCCTTTGGAATAAGTATATTTTGAATCCGAAAGCAGCGCCTTGCTCAGCTCATCAAGGCGAATCTTCCTACATACAGCATGTCCTTGATATTTCGATTTTAGTATTCTTGAATCTTTCTGAGGACGTCTTTTCGCGAAAGTGCAAAGCAGCGAGCATTGTCCCGAGTACATTCTAGCAAGGATCTTTCGATAGCACTTTTTCTGTAGATTATGATGCGCCAAATAGTAGCCGCAGGTTTCTTTTCAAAGGAAATAGAACGGCTGGTGAATTGTGGAAAAATCTTGTCGTCCCAAATTCAACTCGCCATAGCCGCAGGATACGAAGCTATCTTGCTAAGCAGATGTGAGTTTCGAAATCAGCAGGTCGGATAACCTCTGTGAGCAAGTTTTCCGATATGTTCGGGTTATTACATTTTTTCTCGTTTTACGCGCCAGAAGCTCGCCGATGGATTTTGGTCAAAATGTTGATGCTCCTGAATTGTAAGGAAACTTCGCTTATAGAGGTTTTCGAACACGCTCTTCACGAAAATCGTGGTCTTCGAGGATTACAGGGTCTTTTTGGAGAGATACGGTGAGGTGACTGTAACTTCATCACGAAAGTGCGTAACTTTGGCCGCACTTCTCGCGTATCTGTCAGAAACCTTGCCTGCTTGCTTTTCTCAGTCAAAGTTAATAGGAGTACTCTGCGTTGATACCACTGCTT